AGCAAAGCCCAAACCACACCCACTGCCGTGGAGTCCATTCTGACCCACAGCGCCCCTAGAGGACAGAGTGGAACTGCACCACAGGGTCTCCAAGGCTGTCATCTTTATAGAAGCAGCCTGCCACATCTTTCTCCCATGGAGTAGCTGGAGGTTTTGGACTGCTGACCTTTTGGTTAGCAGCCAAATAACCACTGTGCCACCAGAGGTCCTTAGAAGTGACTGTGGCTACACTGAGGGCTTCATATAAACCTGTACCGAGTAGCGTACGTGTTTTCATCATGTGTCCACCCCAAGGTTCAGATTAAACATTCCCGTTGTGAGGTAAAGAACTGTAGAGACACCTCGGAGACATTGCAGTTTGGTCCCAGACCATGGCAATGGCACAAGTGTTGCAGGAGTGGCCACGTCTGCTGATTTCCCCCTGCCTGAGAGTCGTAACCCTCAACTGTCATCTGTTCAGTAGGCGAGAGCAGGATGAAAAAGTGTGAAGTATCATGAGAACGGCCCACGTGGGACCCAGACACAGCGAGTGAGCACAGGCTGCTATGAAGTGGCGTCAGCGGACCTGCTGGACGCAGGGTGGCCACAGCCTGCAGTCTGTGACGCGCGGTGTCTGTGAAGCACAAGCAAATGGGGTGTGCCCGTAACAGTAACCCCATCTATTCCTAACCTTAGTCTGAATACTGTGGTCCCTGCCCCAAGTTCGAATCCAGCCAAAGACCTTACGGCTCCCGTTAACTCATCACTGTCAAGCCCTGAAAAAAAAAATCATGATTATGTTAGATGATAAGATGTGTCCTTTAAAATTCCAACTGACGTCCTTGTATCAGGTTTTTTGAAACAACATTTTATCCTGTTGTTGGTGGAGGTTTACACAGCCGTGTAGTTCCCGGTCACCAATTTCTGCATCAGTTATTCAGTGACGGTGGCTTCCGTCTTCCCAGTGCACGGATGTGCTCGTGATCTCTGTTCTGGTTGTTCTGTTTCCAGCCATCTAGTCTCCCTGCTCCCAAACCTTCTCGTCTTTGCTGTTGAGGAAATGTTGACGCCTTGTATCGAAGAGGCATTTTTCACATGTCTGCTAGCATAACGGGATGCCTGTTGCCCTGGAAAGAACAGCGCTCAGAGAACTCACCCCGTCACTTCTGCGTTTCAGGGAAATTGACCCAGATTGTGTTTGGCCACTGGGACGTGGTCACGTGCTTGGCCAGATCGGAGTCGTACATCGGCGGGGACTGCTACATCGTGTCCGGGTCCCGGGATGCCACCCTGCTTCTCTGGTACTGGAGTGGCCGCCACCACATCATCGGAGACAACCCCAACAGCAGTGAGTGCGGCCTGCGCCGTCCCAGCAGCCCCTGGGGTCGCTGTCGTTAGCGGCGTCGCGTCGGCTCCGACTCGCAGCACGCCTCCCTGCCCCGTCCCGGGCCACGGTCACTGCCATTGTCGTACCTGAGCCCCTCACGGCAACAGTGTGTCGGTCCAGCTCCTTGAAGCCTTCCCGTTTTCTCTCACCCTCTCCTGTACCAAACAGACTACACATTCATTTAGGTATATTTTGCCTTTTTTATTTTTCCAAATAATTATCCTAGGGCTTGTTAAGGGTTTTGTCAGACGGACACCTCAGTGGCAGAGTCTTTGTTGGAATGTGGCTGCATTAAAAGTGTAAGAAAAGGTCCGGCTGTTGTCACCTGCAGCCAGGCCACCAGGTCCCTCACACTGCTCTTCTGCCCCGTCTCCAGAGTCCCTGTCACACAGAAATGTCCTCTATGTCACCGGGCCATGAAGCTTCGTGTGACGTCTCTCCAGTGAATACAGCCCTTCTGTTCTCTGACACATGGCTGCCTCCACGGGGTCACCGCCCCCTCTCTTCCATGTAGTCCACACACATGCCCATATTCATTCAGCAGCACTGAGGACCCTTCCCGCCAGGCACTGGGGATTCAAAAGCTGAATAAGACACGTCCCCTCGCGGGTGTGATTCCTACTGTGTGTGCTGTTCCCGGTGCGCTCCCGGACACCCTGTGGGGCGAAAACGGAGACTCCGTGGTGAGAACACAGGCAGTGGCGGGAGCGCTCTGAGCCCACCCGGGAGCCGGGTTAGCTTGTGCACCCCGCAGGTTCTCCTGAGCACTTTCCAAGGGGCCCTTTGTTTGGGAAGAGCTACCCCAGCCCCCCGAGGCTGTGGGTCTGGGTCAGGAGTTTATCCTCTCATCTTCAGGCTCTGGGTCCCGGTGTGCGGACAGACGTGAGCCCCAAGGACCGAAGGACAGGTTGCCTGGAAATCACGAAAAATCAAAAACCCACTGCCCTGGAGTCGATGCCGACTCTTAGCTACAGAACAGGGTGGAACTGCCCGACACCCAGAAACATGGTACCATTGAGTCTTTTCCGACCCACAGCGCCCCTAGAGGACAGAGTGGAACTGCCCACAGGGTCTCCAAGGCTGTCAGTCTTCACGGAAGCAAAGCCCAAACCACACCCACTGCCGTGGAGTCCATTCTGACCCACAGCGCCCCTAGAGGACAGAGTGGAACTGCCCACAGGGTCTTCAAGGCTGTCAGTCTTCACGGAAGCAAAGCCCAAACCACACCCACTGCCCTGGAGTCCATTCTGACCCACAGCGCCCCTAGAGGACAGAGTGGAACTGCCCACACGGTCTCCAAGGCTGTTAGTCTTTCTGGAAGCAGCCTGCCACATCTTTCTCCCATGGAGCAGCTGGTGGGTTCAAACTGCTGGCCTGTTTGTTAGCAGCTGAATGCTTCACCACTGCACCACCAGGGCTCCTTAAGGAACCACTGCAGATGTTAGTCGCTGAGTTCTCAGTAGCTCTGTTGCATGTACCGTCTGTAAAATAAGCAGGGTCTCCTGGTAGTGTTGACAGCGATGAGTGTCTCCACCAGGGCTCTTCTGATTGTCATCATACAGGCGTCGTAGCAAACGGCCTTCTGGAATAAACTGAAAGGGGTGTGGGAAACCCTGACTCCGCAGGTGAGACACTCCCAGGGTATCTGTGTGTCACAGCTGCGGTGTTGTCAGGGAAGCTGAGGTGTCTGTGAGGTGCCGCATCCACCGCGTGGCTGGAGGCTGCCTCCCTCTACACATGGGCAGTTCCCACCCAGGAACTCACTGGAGGTGACAGGACGTGTTCACCTGTGCTTTCAGTCAGTGCCCTACAGACACGTTTTCACAGGAATCCTGTAAAACAGGAGCCGGTCAGAGCACAGGTCCTGTCCACACACACAGTGACACGTGAGAGCTACCGACTCAGGACAGCCCTGTCCTTCTGGGTCTCACAGTTGTTCCGCCTCTGCCAGGTGCCACCTGACCACTTTCTGCCACACGGTTTATGGGAAATACCTGTGTTTTCCGTCTCTGATGGGTTCCAGCTCACAGGTTATACTGTGAAGGAGTGTAACAGGAGACAGTGGGACCGTGACCTCCGTGGGCAGGTGTTGTGCGGCATCTCAGTCCCACTGTCCACAGCTGGACCTGCAGACGCAGAAACTCCCGGCGTGCCGGGACAGAAGGCAGAGCGTGTCCTGTCATTTCCCTCTCTGCTCTGAATTGTCGACTAAGGCACGGCGTTGAAGTGGGAAAACCAGACTCACAGCGGCTTCATCGCCAATAGATGCCAGTAGTTCACGAGCCCGTCTCCGTGCCTGGTGAACGTCACACTGAATATCAGTGATCAATGAGTCAGGCTCCTCGTGAGTCTCTCTTTAACCCGGTCGTTGACAAAACTCCCTTTTCAGTAGGACTCGAGTATGTGTGTCTCAGGGGCTCCAATGGCGTAGTGGTTAAGGCATCTGGCCGCTAGCCCAAAGGTTAGTGGTTCAAACCCACCAGCCAGTCGTTAGGGGAAAGATGAGACAGTCTGCCCCCGTAAAAATGGGCAGTCTTGAAACCCAGTGGGGGTCGCTGTGAGTGGAGATCTTCTCGACACCAGTTAGTTTGGTTTTGCGAGTGTGTGTGTGTAAAACATTCAATGCACTGGTGATGGCTTCCTTTCTGTCAGGCATGGCAGTACAGTATCACATTTCATCAGAGTGTATTTCCACGCGTTTCCCTATTTCCTGTATTCCCTTAGTAGTGGAAAGTTTCTTAGAAAACTTTAGGTAAACAGTAGGTCCGTGTGATGTCTTTCATATATATTGACCAAAATTAGAAGTATTAGAAAAAATTAAAAAAATAGAATAAAGCATTAAATCCAATTAGGAACATCTTCCAAATGAAACTGAGACCCATTGCAAATGAGATTTCAAAAAATGAGATTGATTTTGTAAAAGCTGCCGGCTGGTAACTGAGACAGCTGCTCTATACAATTACTGCTAATGAGTCGATACTTTTGAGTTTGGGGCTGGCGAGGAATGCGGAAAGTCGCGTGCACTGTCAGGAGGACTGACGGGTCTGTCCCGAAGGAAGTGCAGCCGGAATGCTCGTCGGAGGCAAGAATGGCCAGACTTGGTCTCACCTACTTTGGTCGTGTTGTCAGAAGGGACCGTTCCCTGGAGAAGGATGTCATGCTTGGTGAGGTGGAGGGTCGACGAAAGAGAGGAAGGCCCTCAGTGATGTGGATTGACACAGTGGCTGCCAATATGGGCTCAGGTGTAGCAAGGATTGTGGGGCTGGCACAGGACCAGTGAGTGTTTCGTGCTGTTGTACACGGGGTCGCTGTGGGTCGGAGGTGACTCGACGGCACTGACCCCAACAGCTGTTGAGCGGAGAATCGAGAGGAAGAGCGTGACCGTGCGGTGGTTATCTGTGCTCAGGAGGAGCCCCGGTGGAGCACTGGTTACGTGCTCAACTGCTAACCCAAAGGTTGGTGGTTCAAAGCCACCCTGAAACTCTGCAGGAGAAAGACCGGGTGCCCTGTTCCTGGTAAAGGTTCACACCAAAACCCATTGCTGTCTGGAGTCAGTTCCGACTCATAGCAACCATACAGGTCAAAGGAGAACAGCCCTGCAAGATTTTCAAAGCTGTAGTCTTTACAGAAGCAGACTGCCGCATCTCTCTCCCGTGACATGGCCGGTGGGTTCGAACCATCGACTCTGCTGTTAGCAACCGAGTGCTTAGCCTGCACCACCAGGGCGTCCTCCCGTAAGGATCGCAGCCGTGCAAGCCCCGTGGACCGGTTCTGCTCTGGCACGCGGGCTGCTGTGAATGGGGCTGGACTCGTCTTGGTTTTGGGATCTGTGTTCGGTGCTATGTTTTGCAATGATCTTTGTGTGTGTGTGTGTATGTGTGCACTTTGGGTGCAAATTTACAAAGTTTGTGTTGCGTTCAACAGTTCCTGCACATTTGATTTCACGCCCCGATTACCATCCCCCACCACAGCAAACTCCCCTCCCCTCCCCCCCCCGTGACCCCTTCCTGTGCCCTTCTTGACCACGCCCTCTGTCTGTCCAGCCATCGCTCTGCGAACGCTGCCCCTCTGGGGCCCCAAGGCCGATTGCTCTCGGGGGTGCATCTCCCTAGAGTAGGTGGGCATCGCCCTGGGGTAGGTGTTCTGCATGGAGGTCTTTCTACTGTTGGACTGAGCCAATCCACGGGAGTGAGTCCGTTTTTAGGCCCAAAGGGTAACTTGGGGGGGGCGTAGTCTGGGGATTCCATCAGACTCTATCCGACCAGCAATTCTGGCCGTTATTGTGTTTTTTAATTTTCTTCCACATTTCCCCCCACTTGATCCAGGATCTCCAGTTTTGATCTCTCCGAGTGGTTGGCATTGATAGCCGGACACCGTCTACTTCTTCTGGTCTCAGGGTCGTGAAGGCTGAGGTCCTCCTGGTCCATCTTATCCTTGGACTGATTGTTTCCAGACGCCTTTGATTTTCTTCACTCTTCTTTGCTTCAGATGAGGGGAGACCACTAGTGGCATCTTAGACGGCCACTCGAAAGCTTTTAGGACCCCAGTCACCACTCACCAAAGTAGGTTGTGGAACAAGATTTTCATGTTCTACGTTGTGCCAATTGAGCTCGGTGTCCCCCGACACTATGGTCCCGAGTCGGCAGGCCCCATGATTCTCTCCTTCGAGGTGTCTGGGTGTCTCTGAGAGGTCACCCCAGCTCTGTCTTCCATTGCTTCTGTGTGTGGCTAATTCTGCAGCACAAGGGCATGTGTAAGATTGTCTTCAGCCAAATCTGTCCTTGGTCGAGGGTGCGTTCCTGCTTATCTGCCCCCACCTGGTCTTCTCACCTGTGTGTGCATTTATTCATAGCCTGGTGTTTGGTGTTAGTGGTCATGTAGTATCGTGCACACATTAGTACTGGCCTCTGTTGTCTGTATCTTCTGTGCACATTTCAGTGTCCTTCCTTTCTCCAGTGTCA